TAGACTGCTACATTACGGGAGATGTTGACATTGAATGTGCGCATGGAACAGCTCATGGCCGTATACAAGGCAGCTTATCGCTAGCTGACTTAGCCAGTACACACACGGCTCGGGTAAATTAATTTTACACACTGTTTCAGGTTGCTTGCTTTAATAGTAGCGTTGGATTCCTAATAATTATTGAGTGTTACCAGCAAAGAAAATATATTAGTCGTTTGATCCAGCCCCGAAAAGATGGCGAATACACATTAAAGAAACGATGGATACTAAGCAGTTCTGGTAAAGGTAAGCAGTAAAGGCAAGCAGTTCTGGAACGGAAGGGCCTAGTACAACTGCGTCATACGTATGGAGGCATGCCAGTAACATCACTAACAAATGAGATCCTTGCGCTGACTATCCGGTAGATTTGAGATACTTTTGGTGTTTCATTTATTTGTTCATATGCACAATCAACTGACTGAAGCTGGCGAGACATTACTGAAACGAGTTTCTACTTGAGTTACTATCAGAGCTAAATTTACAATTCGTTTCTGTCAGCGGAAACCCAAATTCTCCCAAATTCTGTTAAGTCGTTTCTGTGGAAAATTAGCAACTGGCACGTGACAGTGAGTCAAGGCTGCTATAAGTTTGTTTCTAAGCAACTTTCAGAAGAGGCTAACTTCGGAAGTTTTTCGAATTTGTGAAACTCGTCGACAGTATGTTATTACTCGGACTAGCTACTCCACAGTTGGTTTACCTCTCATAAGTACTGGAATATTATAAAGAGAGGTTTGAAAATACCCCGAAAAGTAGGAAATAGTGATAAACGATGGGAAGCAAGCAGCGAGTTAATACAGTCCAATCCCTCACTGTAAACCTCAAATTACTTTACTAGAACTAACTGACCTAAACGGAAAAGTTTCGGCTTGAAGTGCGCAGTTTTTTCCGTACGAATAAGATACCACTACAGACGTGTGGTAGTTTCAGCCAGAAAAAGCTCACTTGTTGTTATATTTACCTAGGGGTGGATAAAACAGCTCACTCTTTGTTAGATATAAACCCGGATTGGAAGCCACCAGGCGGGCCGGTGCTATTATGCGTTTTTGGACTTTTCGTGCCGTAGCAAGATCGCAAGGAATCACAGCAGCTATCCCTGTAACATACTGCCCCTCAAAATTCGGCAGGTTAATTGTGCAACTATGTGGGATGTCAGTTGTAGATGCCGACTAGAGTGATCCGACAGATACCAAATTGTTGATCCGCGAAAAAAAAAAACCTACTAGAAGAGTTAAATTTGAAACCTTGTAGCCGCATATAAGTAGGGAATATTTCCTTAAAGCCTTTCAGTTTTTTTTCGTCACCGAGTTAGCCATTTTTCCGCAAAAATTTTCAAGCGCCTGTACGTGAGCTCCATACGGTTCTAGGGAGCTGAATTTGAAATCTTTTGGCCGCACGCGAATAGGGAACATTACCCTAAAGTTTCAGCTTTCTAGTTTTTTTGGTCCCCGAGTTAGCAATTTTCCCGTCAAAACTTTCACGCTGTCGTATGCGGAGCCCAAACGTGCGTTAGGATTGATACTGCGCTACTGGGATGGCGCTTGACTGAGGAACACATTGGCAACAATTCAGCTCCAAAGCGTGCGTGGTTGACGAGTTGAAATACCGGGACAGAGAACACACACACAGCAAAAACGCATAAAAAGGATGAGCCGAGAAAATTTTATAAATCATTTTTCCGATTTTTGATCTATTCTGGATGGGCATTTTCAGGAAACGTCTGGTACATCAATGTTTACAGTAAACGGCGTCACTATGCCTTCAGCCACTGGCGGGATGAGTTCTGAATACGCACTATCATCAGTCGGCTCGAATGCCAGTCATCTGGCAAGCAAGGAATATGGTATCAATGCAGCCAAGCTCACGTTCTCGCCACACCAAAGTCCACCATCGAAAGCGAAATCTCCCAATTCTCGTAAATCGCCCGTGCCACCGCTGCGTCAAAATCGTGCACTACTGGCATCAACAAAATCGGAAACAAAAACGGCCCTGACCGGTACTTCACGTGCGTTGCATAGCATGCCATCGTACATGTCACCAACGCTTTCATCGCTCCAGAAAATAAGGCCACGTTCAAAGTCAGTATCTACTGCATCCGCAAAAACTCCGCGCAGCGGATACAGTTCCAAGCCAGTTTATTGGCAGAACACTAAATCCGGCCCAGTCAGCCGTATTTCGCGTCGACAACGCTTCCCGACTTCCCGGCCGACTTCGCAAGGATCAACTCTGAAGTGGTATTCTCGAGCTGCCCAAGCATCCATTGGAAGTCCCGTGACCGATGAAGCGTTTGAGAGCGAACCGGAATCGTCAAGAGCATCAGCTCGAGCACGTCGCAAAGTCATCGTATGGCAGCAAACGACGGCAGAGCCACTGCCGAGAAGCTCACGTTTTGAACGTTTTCCGACGACCAGTGGAACTCCAAGAAGCCGTGGTGTGAATCGCACCAACAGCTCATTGTCGCTGACACCAAGCGGAACTTTCTGGAAAAGCACAACACAAAGAACGCCAGAAAGAACTTCACGCTGGGATCGCTTCACTGAGCGCCAGAGGACGGCGTCGGAACCAGGCCGATCACGCTTCTCACGCTTTCGCAGTCCTGCGCCGCATCTGTCCACAGCTCGAACAACAAGTAGTCAGCTGCGTACAGCTCGGCCCTGTAAGCAACTATCTCCAATGCTACCGCGAAAAGTCCGAAACGCACAGAATCCCTACACGAAGCTTTTGCTCGGTCCATCTTCCGAGTACCAAATCGAGGATGCCCATGCTACATCAGGAGCTGGTTCCTCAGATGGAGCCAAGGAGAATCTTTTTTGGCAACAAACCTCGTCACAACCGCCACCCCGAACATCACGTACGGTGCGTTT